GCAACTTGGCAATACAAGGGTTTTAGTCTGTTTTGCTAATTTTGGGATCCCTTATTGGAGGTGATCTGTTTGTCAATGAAGGTCGCAAGTGATCTCCGAACATTTCAAAATCGGGAATGGCGCATCATTGAAATTAGTTTGCTTCGGGTGATCCCCACCTTGGGATTTCAAGGCATATATTCTGACATATATTCTGACATTTTACCTAACATTCTATCTGACATCTATTCTGACATTCTGTCTGACATCTATTCTGACATTCTATCTGCCATTCTTTCTGGCATTCTATCTGGCATCTATTCTGACATTCTATCTGACACCTATTCTGACATTCTATCTGCCAATCTTTCTGGCATTCTGTCTGGCATCTATTCTGGCATTCTATCTGACATCTATTCTGACATTCTATCTGGCATCTATTCTGGCTTTCTATCTGGCATCTATTCTGGCAATCTATCTGACATCTATTCTGGCATTCTATCTGACATCTATTCTGGACATCTATTCTGGCATTCTATCTGGCATCTATTCTGACATTCTCTCTGACATTTCTTTCTGACATTCTATCTGCCATTCTTTCTGGCATTGTATCTGGCATCTATTCTGGCATTCTCTTCTAGCATTCTCTATGTTCGGGGCCAGGCGCAGCCCACAGCGACCGGAATTCGCGCAGGCACAGGCACAGTGTCCGGAGCTTAGACACATTCATTTTCAACTCCCATGCGAACGTCCGCGCGCCTTCACAAAACTCCAGCCAGCCTGCGCCATCACCTGCGAGACCATGCAACTATCTATCTCAAGACTATCTACCTATCGATCAATCTATCTATCTAGTCTAGTCTGGTCTAATCTAATCTACTCTGATCTAATCTAACCTAACCTAATCTAATCTATTTAGTCTATTTAATCTATCTAATCTATCTAATCTATCTAATCTATCTACTCTATCTAATCTATCTAGTCTATCGGCGGGGATCACTCTGATCCTGAGCTTGCTGTTCGGGTCCCGCGGGGAACATTGCGATCTAGCGCTTGCAGTTGAGGTCCGGTGGGGATCACTTTGATCCTGAGCTTGCTGTTCGGGCCCCGCAGGGAACACTGCGATCTAGCGCTTGCAGTTGAGGTCCGGCGGGGATCACTCTGATCCTGAGCTTGCTGTTCGGGTCCGGCGGGGAACATTACGATCTAGCGCTCCGGCGGAGATCACTTTGATCCTGAGCTTGCTGTTCGGGTCCGGCGGGGAACATTGCGATCTAGCGCTCCGGCGGGGATCACTTCGATCCTGAGCTTGCTGTTCGGGTCCGGCGGGGAACATTACAATCTAGCGCTCCGGCGGGGATCACTTCGATCCTGAGCTTGCTGTTCGGGTCCGGCGGGGAACATTGCGATCTAGCGCTCCGGCGGGGATCACTTTGATCCTGAGCTTGCTGTTCGGGTGCGGCGGGGAACATTGCGATCTAGCGATTGCAGTTGAGGTCCGGTGGGGATCACTTCGATCCTGAGCTTGCTGTTCGGGTCCCGCGGGGAACATTGGGATCTAGCGCTTGCAGTTGAGGTCCGGTGGGGATCACTTTGATCCTGAGCTTGCTGTTCGGGTCCCGCGGGGAACATTGCGATCTAGCGCTTGCAGTTGAGGTCCGGCGGGGATCACTCTGATCCTGAGCTTGCTGTTCGCGTCCGGCGGGGAACACTGCGATCTAGCGCTTGCAGTTGAGGTCCGGCGGAGGAGAAGGAGAAGAAGGAGGAGGCGGGACAGCTGACATAAAATCTAACAGATTTTAATTCACGCACTGACATGTTTGACTATTTGGGGATAGTTACCCCAATTCAATTCCCGTCATGTACCGTGATGTCGCAACGAGTTCGGTCGTTATAATCTACCCAGAAAAGGATGTTTGCCTATTTCCGAATCGGTTGATCCACCATATTGGAAGCTTCCCAAAGATCCTAAAGTGGTTTTACTCCCCAAATCATCCAAAATGAAACAAATTTTGCATTGAAACAACCGTGGTGTTGGGTCCCCCACTTTGGGGAAACCACATGCATACGTAGGTAATTATGGTCATCCCACCATCATGACGGGGGTGGTGGGATACCCATTCAGGTAATCCCTTCCACCATAGCATGGATACCCCCTCAAATGAACCCTTAGTGGAATGCCTTGGATCTATTCATGATTTGGGGGGTTATGGGGATTATATTTGATATGACTTTGGGGTGCAGTTTCAGTTACAAGTCGATATACAACATTATACAACCAGAGTTATAGCGTTAATATCAGGTAATATCCCATGGGGGTCAAAATCCCATGGTTCTACTCATTTAGTTCACCTGGGGGATAGGATTATAGGGAATCTCTCTTAGGATTTCCTGTGGAAGATTGTTCCTTTCACTCATCCCCGACACGTCGGGAAGGCACTGGCCGCGCTTCTAGCCCTCCAGGCCCGCGCTGCGCTGCTGCGCTTTTCGCGCTTCCGGTTGGTGGTGAAATTGAAGCCTGGCAACCTGACATGACCAAGAATTGGTTTGCCTGAAAATCGGGCGCCCAAAAATATTGATTGTCCCCAAAAAAAAATTGACATAGGCGTCAGACACTCAGGCGTCAGACACATGTCCCAGCCCAGGTTCAGTCCCGAGAGGCACTGTTGTTGGGATTTTTCATGGTTCACTGGCCCATTTTGGATCATTCTGGGGCGATTACCTGGTTTGAGATTTTCATGGTGGGGATGGACTGCTTCTCATTTGCCAAAGATTCAACAAAAACCGAAGCAAAGGTCGAGCTGGAGTTTCCACGTGTTCACCAACGTTTTGCTTCGTAAATATGTTTGCACCAGGGGGTCCAGGTGATACCATCTGGTTATTTAACATAGCCATGGAAAATCCCAAAAATAAATGGAGGTTTTAATGGGAAAATCATCTATTTCTATGGGCCATCTATACCATGGCTATGTTTAACCAGATGGTAATCTCAACTCGGAGTCCTGGAAGTCTTTGGGCCAACGTTTTGGGTTTGGCCTCAAATCCCATCCTGATGTATGAAATGTTCGAATCCCATCACCCTGATATGGTCCCACCCCTGGCTGCATGGTCCCAAAAAAAATGTAGAAAGTCTCATCCACCATGGTTTCGTGGCCAGGTGTTTTATCGAAGGATTACTTCAATGAAGCCGTGGAGATCATTTTTTTGACCAATCTCGGGCAAATTCACTAAGCTTTAATATTCTTGGACCATCTGATGGGATGATTAGTGAATTCCAGCGAGGTCATATCATAACAATTTTGACAATTGATATCCCAATATCCTCGGAATTTGGGATCCCAAAATTCTAACCATGATGAACCAGGCTTCGGGAGAACAGGCTGAGGTCGTTATGAATTACCCAGATGAATGCAATTACTTCGTGATGGACATTGAACGATCTGAGAAAGATCGCCACTTCAATTTTTTTCCTAGCGGCTAAAGCCGGCCATCAACCGAAAGTGCAAAAAAATCGAACAACCTGCTTCGATTCTGTACTACTGTACACGTGTACAATTGTATGCAGCACGGATCACAGCCCAAACACAAAAGCAGTGGTACCCGAAGCTGGTGATGGTTTTCACTTGAGCAGTCTCAGAGTCATCAGTCAGGATGGAAGTCTGAAAATTGGCTCCCTGATCTACTGCATTGTCACGTGGATAGTTCCATTGGCATTTTTTCAGGAGTATGTTAAACTGGTTGGTGGTTGAGCCTACCCATCTGAAAAATATGAGTGAAAGTCAGTTGGGATGATGACATTCCCAACATTCCCAACTGAATGGAAAGTCAAAAAATTCATGTTCCAAACCACCAATCAATAACATAGCTATGGAAAATGGACCATTTATAGATGGTTTACCTATTGAAAATGGTGATTTTCTATAGCTATGTTAAATTACCAGAGGGTAATCATCAACCAGTAAAAATAAACACATGGCAAAAGTCCAGATCAATTGCTTTAACAATGCGCGAGTTTCCCCTTGGTTGGCTTTCTGGTTGGCCAGTGTAAATCCCCAATGGATGCCAGTGACCTCCTGGTCTAGTCGGTCGTAGTTGACACGAGATGTTCTTGACGCTTCATGATTGGGTTTAAATGTGGTAAACCCAATAGACCATCCCTGAATATCACTATAAATAAGTGAATGACTAAATCATAGTTATAAATAAGCCACAATAAACCATATAAATCATACTTAGTGTGAAACCCAATGAAAAAAAAAAACATAAATAATCCAAAGTTGCTACTTTGATGTTTAACAAGGAACCACAAACTGCAATTTCCAGGAACCATCTTTCGGACTCCAAGTTTCACAGTGTTTCGCGTTCCTTCCAATAGTTGGCTAAATCCTGGTTAAATCCCCCATATCCTAAGCATGGGGAAGGGAACCGTGACCATTGTGATTGCTGTAATTCCTACAGTAATTGTCGCCTGGTTTGATTTTTGGCTGGTTGTTGATCCCATTCACTTGGTTTTACCGAAATTTCCGTATAGTGCAGTATTAGGAAAACCACATTTTGAGACATACAATAATATCATATTGCTGGTTACGTATCTCATCTATATCATAATTAGCATAATTGATATCCTCATAAAATGCAGTATCTCAATGTTTTTGTACTATCTGCCCTATCGGTAGGGAATTATGTCAAGATACCTGGGAATGAGATGGAAGATCAGTTCTCGATATTCTTTACCTGGGTTCCCACACGACCTGGCCATTTCTATGAATTTCAAGTTTCCGTGTTTCCAGCGAGTTAGAGATGATATCTAAATATATATATATATATATTTATTTATTTATTTACTATGCTCACATGACATACATGCTATAGTTGTATGGGGTAAACAAATCTCCACTTATTCCCATGTCATCTGACCCCTACATATATATATATATATTATATATATAATTCATATTCCCAAACATATGAATCATTCGACATCCCCCAGGTTTTCCATCACCATTCAGCTTCCGTGGTCGTCACACCGTCAGTGAACGATTCGCAGACAGCAAAGTCGCTGCAGAGATCGAGGTGCACCTGAGCGATAACCCCGACGTTTTCGAGTGTAAAACCCCTATAATCTCTACAAGGTGGTGCCCCAGTTCGTTAGCTAAGTTGGTGCAAATAACTCCCATTTCACTAGGGTTTATGGGGGTTATATCTATAGTTAATGGGGATTATAAACCAACTTATAACTGGGGGGCACCATCCTGTATCCTCTGGCAAACAAACATAGCTATTGAAAATGGCCATTTATAGTTGATTTACCCATTAGAAATTGTCATTTTTCATAGTTATGTTAGTTTACCAGACGGTATCTAGTGTGGTTAAATCGTCCATCTCCATTGTTCATTGGTTGAATCTCCAGTTTTGATGGTTACTTGGATGTGCATCTCACTTAGGTCCCACATATAACTGGAGGTATAAGCCATTTGGCCATTTACTAAGTGGGATGCACCCCTAAGCTGGAACTTGTCCACTTTAGTGGAATTCTCAGGTTTGCCCCTAAGATAACCCGCACGTGCGCTATGCCCCACAGGTACTACACTATACACACTTTCATGGGGATTAGCTTTAGGCCCATTTAGGGTTTCTTTAGGGTTAATTTCGGTTTTTGTTTTAGGGTTTATGTAGGGTTTATGCAGGCTTTGTATAAAAAGTGGCAAACACCAGTTTTGGAGGACAGCAGATTCACTGCAGAAGGTTCACAACGACGTCTCTAGGTCAGCTGACCCAGAGCCGTCTTGTTGTTAGACCTTCAACTACGACGAAGCCACAAAGTACTGTAAGGGAGAGACGGGCACAGGGCATAGTTTCCAGCTGTTTCCAGCACCTGATTGTACTTGGTTGGTGGTCTCAACCGCCAAAAATACGCTCGCTGTTTCTATGTCGTTGAGTTTTCATTTCACAGGCGTACTGGGTGTACTTTGGTGCATCCAAACTGCTGACCTATGATTTGTAAACTACCCCTACTTAGAGCTCCCACCCGCCCCAAACTAAATAAGAAGATACCGAGAAGAGGGTGTAAGTTACCACGTGGAATGGGCGCAAACAACCACAGTCCAGACAGCCGGCCCAGGCGATGAAAGGCGAGGTTTTTTGCTCCAAAGAAGCTCAAAACATCACGTTTCAGATCCATGTTGGGAATTCTTTCATCCCGTGGTCAAAAATTGCTTTAAAAACATGTTTGAAACCACCAACCAGTCACCTGTTTAGCAGCATAGTGGCATCGCTCTATCCCCAGGTAGGGACAATCCAAACATGCAAATCTACTTGGTGTGGTTTCAAGCCTCCTGAAGGATATGTTTCGGATTGGGAATCATCTTCCCATTTCTATGGTTGTTTTTTTCTAATAGCAACAACAACAATAACAAGAATAGTAGTCATAGTAAATAGTTCAAACCACCCATCAAAAGTAAAAATCTTATGCTGGTAGGGCGAGCTACCTTGCTAACCATCATCTATGGCATCATCTATTCCCCAAGAGAAGGTGACACGGTCCTGATCTTCTTCCATGAATCTGGGTAAACCACATAATATTTCACTAACCTGAATTCTTCGGCCATGGCTGGGGATGATTCCCCTAAAATAACACCATGATTTCCAGGCTTCGGGAGAACAGTGGATTTTGGACATTGGCTAATTAAAAAAGTGTCCCCTCAGCTGTAGCCCCTCAGATTCTTCCATCAGCTGTTCACAAGGTCACCCCATCGAATCACCTTATTTCATAAAGAAAACCAAGTGGAAAAAAATGGATGGTGAAAGCTGTAACCAGTAACAAAAGACCAAGTTGTTTCGGCCCAGGAGCCCAGTGTCCTCCATGTTTTTCCGCTTTTGTAGCACGTCCTTCAACACCACGTCCTCGGTACCAAGGCCAGGTACCCAAAGGTGGAACATCCGTGGCCGAAAATCGTAGATGTTGCGAAAATCATGGAACTTTTCTGGTGGACCAGGCCACACTTGATGGAGGCTAATTCGATGATCCTTGATGTTTAGAAAAAGGCTTGACCAGCCCACGGTCATTCTCTATGGGAACATGGCCAAACATCGGCCCCCAAGGGAAATTGGTCAACGATTCTCCGGATGGTAACAGAATGGCAACCGCTGGCAAGGAACTTCTTGTATCGTTTGCGGCGTCCTACAGGATGGTGCCCCCCAGTTATAAGTAGGTTTATAAATCCCATTGACTATAGTTATATCTGCCATAAACCATAGTGAAATGGGAGTTATTTGCACCAACTTAGCTAACGAACTGGGGCACCACCTTGTAAAGTCCTATTGATGGGATGACCCGGCGATACTGTGCAAATGTACCACTCACTTTGCTTACGTTCGAAACTTCGGAAAGTACACAGGAAACAGATGGAAATCTTGATGCATCCAGATCAATTCCCCACTTGGAGCATCAGCCCACAAGAAAAAAACGCAACTTGCAACTGGGATGAGTTATATAACTTTTTTCATCTTATTTCTAAATGGAATAATCCATGACTAATCCATGATAATCCACTTATATTGGGGAGGACTTACATGATCTCAAAAATGGGAGTGTCTTAAGTCGTGGTTCTTTCAATACTAGTCGTCATGGTCATCCATGACGACTAGATGGAATCATCATGGATTAGTCACGGATAATCCACGACTCTATTGGTGTCGTATCCAATATCTATAATATTTATGGTGGATAAATGCTTGGATAATATGGATAGTATATGGATAGTATATGGATAAATGGATAATCCAACATATACCAACCATAAAAACTATCCATCTACCGACTGGCAATCTAACATAGCTATTGAAAATTGCCATTGAGTGCGTTGATTTACCCTAGAAAAAATGGTGATAGTTTTTTCTGGTTGGTGGGATACCTACCCCTCTGAAAAATATGAAAGTCAGATTGGATCATCATCTCAACTGAATGGAAAAATAAAAAATGTTCCAAACCACCAACCAGTATATATACAACTACTATACATGAACATGTTAGTCAATGGGAAGGAACAAATGTTTCAAACCACCAGCCAGTTGTTTGTATGTATACCAGAGGGTAACCATCATTGGTGCGGCCAGGCACGGGGCTGACATGCACCTGCTCCAGGTACCTGGCCGCGCCATCCAGCCATGGGCGGTTTCAGGCGAAAACGGTTAGGGCGGTTTGGTGAACTGGAAAATCACCCATTTTTTGATCGGAAAATCACCATTTGTCATAGGAAAATCAAATCAACCATGTGTCATGGGGAAATATAGGTAAATCAACCATAAATGAACCATGTTCCACAGCTATGTTGGTTTACTGGAGCGTAAACCCTATAATCGACAATCCCAAAGTCCACATACCCAGCAAAAAATAAAGTGTTAGCTGGTTAGTAGATATTCCTGTTGAAATCGTAAACTGCCCATTCAAGATTGACCTAGTAAATACAGTATGAGGTATAGCTGCATAGCTGGTATGGTCATCCGATGCCATGGGAATCCAAACAGAATGATGATATAAAATTACATTAATCATGACCATCCACCAATGTGGGCAGTTTACCCATACTGACCATGGCACATGCGGTTGCATAGCCTAAACCCAGCCAAGTTTATATGGCCAACCTTAGATACCCTACCATCCACGTGTTTTTGTAGCTGCTAACTACAGTTTTCGCAATGGCAGCTACCCAGTCGGTTGAAGCGGTGAAACAGGATTCGAGCGGTTGAAACATCGGAAACCACCATAAATTCATTGGATTGAACATCTACAGATTCTACAGGAAAAAACGGAAAACCACAGCTATCATTGCAGGGCTCGCCTGGGAAGGGAGTTGGTTAGATAAAGATAGAACAGTACAATCCTTGGAATGGCAATGAAAATTGACGTGTTGTTATCTTTTTGGGAGGTGCGAAAAAACCCCGTCCAATTTTCAGGCGGGATCCTTAAAATTCCCAAATCCCTAGGGCCTTCCTTTGGCGGTCTTGTATGGTCTTGTATGGTTTGTTGCTGAAGTCTGTTGAAATAACCTTACTCAATGTGGATACCCTGACGATTAAATGCGATCAACACATTCTTCCCACTGCATATTTCGATGAAAAACATGAGAAGCAATTGAAACCAGCAACAGAGCAAGTTAAGAAAAGGCCCAGTAGTAGCAGTTTGCCCCGCACTGATCCTCAATGCCTCCCCTGCACCCAATCATTACAGTAATCCATTATAGAATTCAGCGGACCTTGCATCTGCGACACGGGAACGACGGGGACGTGCCTGTTGATTTTGCGCACATGCCGTTCGTGGTCTCGACGATTGGGTGGAAGACTAACTCCTCGCACTTTGACAAAGTGTTTCGCCCTACGTTGAGTCAATGGATTAGCCTCTGGTAATTTAATGTAGCTATTGAAAATGGTCCATTTATAGTGGATTTGCCCATTGAAAATGGTGATTTTCCATAGTTTTTTGTATGTGTACCAGAGGGTAGCCTCCGCTAAACAAACCTGGCAATTGGGAATCCAGCATTTATGGATGATTTTGACAGCTGGAAACCTCCAGGTGTAGGTTGGATTTTCAGGATCTTCGTGCGGGTTGACTTTGTTTAAACAAATCCTACAGAAACCACTTCTCATATTATCAAGTGTGAGTTTCATATAGATATTATTCAACTTCTCCAAAAGCAGACTGTGACTGATTGGAGCTTGCCCAAATCTGCGACACCTCAGACACTGAAGATATGCATTTGTCCAAAGGGGTATGGAATTATGACCCTGCCCGTCAAAAGATTGGGGAACAGGATGTCCGAAACCATTGGCTTTTGACGTAGTCTATTCTTGGAAAAACAAATGAATCCTACCCTCTGGTAAATTAACATAGACCCTGGCAGATAGGGGTTGGAAGATTAGTTTCCATTAAAACTAGGCTATTTTCAGGGTCTATGTTAATTTACCAGAGGGTAGAAAAAAGTGATGGATGTTCTCCTATCAGGTCCTATCAGTCCAAGCGATGAATGTGACAATGTGTCGGTCTATCTGGGTGCTCATGTACTACGGATTTTTCAAGTCGTCAAATATTATATTCGGAAACCAATTATATCAAAAGCTCCATCAAATTAGTATAATAAATGATAGACAGAACTATAGATTTGTTTGTTGCATTAACTATAGAAGATATCATCTAGAATTCTTTTGTGGGAAATCTACAGGAAGCATGTCGATGGCAGGCAATTCTTCCCATGGATAGCTTAGATCACCATGGAATCACCACAAATCTCAATTGTTGAAGGTTTTTTAAGCCCCTTTTTGCTGGTGACAATTGCCATCTTGTGGCTGTGCTCATTTTGCTTGGTTGAATCCCATTGAGTCGCTGATGGTTACATCAAGTTACATCCTGATCTTTAACGGTGAAATCCATGTATTACCCTCTGGTAAATTAACATAGACCCTTGTAGATAGGGGTTGGAAGATTAGTTTCCATTAAAACTAAGCTGTTTTTCAGGGTCTATGTTAATTTATCAGAGGGTAGATGGCTGAAATGATGAGTCCCTATGTTTGCTGCTGATGTTGCGGTAACCACACCATGGAGTTCTCGCCAAATTCGACGTCGTCCCTGTGAGACTGCTGTCCTTCAGGCGCCACCACAGGAGCCAAAGACCAGGACGACCTGGTTTCAGAAACCGATTGATTGGAGGTACCGATTCCATATATAAGGCCTATTTTTTTTCAGGCCATGTAAGGGAAACTCCACAAAATATGGCCTTATATGGTACAGTACCTCCACTTTAGGATCCTGGAATTCCCATTGAACAAATGGCTTAGTCTATTTTTAGCATGAACCATCCAATAATTGGGCTAAAATTTGACCCATACCCATTTGATAATGCCCTTGGTCGATTGGTTGTTGGAAGTTATAAGGGCTGGTGACTATAAGATACTATAAGGATTTACGTGTTGTTTGACCATTAAAAATGGAGATATAACATGATAGAATGTGATTCCATGGTGACTTAGTGGGATTTACTCGCCCTGATCTGCCGATCAAAGTTCGCACCCAGAAAAGGATCTGCATCCCAATAAGTGGCGCATGGCCATGGTCAGTTCACACACAGCATATGGAATGTATCATGTACATACAAGGTGGTGCCCCATAGTTAGCTAAGTTGGTTTATAACTCTCATAACTATGGTTTATGGCATATATAACTATAGTTAACGGGGTTTATAAACCAACTTATAACTGGGGGGCACCATCCTGTACATCATATCTGCATTTGAACAACACCCACTATCAAATGGATGGATAAGATATGATTAGATATTGCATATGTATATATGTATCATATGTCTACATGTCGCCCAGCATCTGGTGGTCCCCAAAAAAATTGTGATGGTAATATGTATATGGATATTCATATAAAAATATACATATACGTATACAAATACATATACATATACACATACATATATGTATGTAAGTATATGTGTGTATTATAGTTATATCATATTATGTTATATCTGCATATGTATATGTAGGTCTATGTGTGTATATATACAGTAGGTACGTGTATATGTATATGTCTATGTACCCCTCCTCCCTGTGGATGTGGTTAGAGTGAGGGGTGGGGGGGGCAACCTTTCATAAAATGGTGGGTTTGGGGAGGGGCTGTGATCACCACACACGGGATCATATGTATATGTATATATATATATATATGTATAGATAAGAGGTGATCATAATTCATCCAGAAATAGTATTGTTGGTTGTGTATCCCATTATAGCGCATGTTTGTTATTGATGTTTATATATCATATGATATTCCGTTGTTGTTAAAGTTGCTGTTAGCCATACATAGCTATACTATCCATAAATATACATATCTCTGGGTAAATCATCATATCTCATTAACCTTAAAGTGCGGCTATTTTGGGATAGGTACCCCATATATGTATATATCTGTATATATATATATATATATTAACCATCATTCCAGTGAGGTCGCAGGGTTCGGTCATTATAATTTACCAACATATCGGTATATACCAAAATAAGATATGAATTATAACCATTAGCGGGACAATTCATATGATTCACCATGACCTATGTTTATATCCCCATTATTAGCCAACTACACATATTTCAGTCTCTGATGAAAACTGAACCGGTAAAAATACCCTGTTTTCCCATCTCATTTTACTGGTCGGTGTGTCATACATTTCCGTACTGGTTTCCCAATCCTGCGACTTATCCCAATCCGGAGATTCCCACTAAAGCAGTTAGCTTTTTCATCCCCTATGACCAAGAGTAAATGACATGATGGAAGAAAATGAAGTATACAGTGATGGCCCTGGCCATTCACAGTTACCAAGTTATAAATGAAAATATAACCCCGATAACTAAGGTTGTATATTATATATCGTTATAAACCCATTTATAACTGTGAGCTGGGCCATAACTATAGTGACTTTCTGAACACCAGTGTTTTGCATGAAACTGGGCTCAGGGCGTCCCCCTCTCATCAACAATGGTATCTTTAATGGCTCAATTACTTGGATTTGCCTAAGAAACCCCAAAAACAATGTAAACAGATTCCCTCGAAATACCAGTCAAATAGTTCGATATTGATATGCCTACAATAAATCATGGTTAACATGGATTTGCTTAAGGAACCACCGAAAAATATCAACAGATTCCCTCTGGATTCTCCAAGTAGTGGATTTCCCATTGACAAAATAAAGTCTAAAAAACATCAAAAAAACAAGCCCAAGATAAGCTATACATTGGTGGCAACTCCAACCCGCACCTGGGCTCCCTCTGCCCTGAAGAACCTCCGCATCCAGGTGGTTTCAGCTGCTTTTTAACAGTAAAAATGACGATTTCCATGGGATTTCATTACACTTCATGGAATAAAAATGGTCAAGAATGGTGAATGAATGGAATTTAACGGGAATCCCCAACAGTTCATGGTGGTTTAACCTACCAAGTGATGTGGATGTTGTGAACCAAGTTCCAAGTTGGTAAATATAACTAAGGCCTATATCTCTGGTGTTTCTTGGTGATGAAATAAGTATTGCAGACTATAGCTAGATGGATAAAGGTCAGCACAACGGCACCACCTTCAAAGTGGACAACCATTGTTTTTCCATCAATGTTCCCGACAAAAACATGTGCAAGCCAACACCTTCCCAACATTAGCGTCAAACAACAACATACGAGTAACCAAAAAAAAGGATTCTGATAGTCCCCAACAAAATCCCATGACAAAATTTCGATCCCTATCTATATATATATATATACATATCTGGTTGCTGGTATACCTACCCGTCTGAAAAATATGAGTTCGTCAGTTGGGATGATGACATTCCCAATATATGGATTTTTTTATGTTCCAAACCACCAACCAGAGATATATATATATATATATTACCCTCTGGTAATTTAACATAGCTATTGAAAATGGTCCATTTATAGTGAATTCTCCCACTAATAATGGTGATTTTCCAGGAGGGGTAGATCCCAACAGCGGCGGTGTCGCCTGCATCTTTCCATCGTTTCCCCAACGATTTGACTCTGCGCGAGTCGCCCTTGGATGGGAGTCGTGGCGCCGTCCGAGGCAACGGAGTGATGGAGCCTCCAGTTTCGGCCGGGGGCCCGCCGGGGGCCAAGGGGTTGGGTGTCATCCCATTGGGGAAAAAATTGATGAGGCTCGCCAGGAAAAGGAGAAAAATTCATAGGCTAAGGAGATCTAAGGAGCCAGAAATTTTTTGGACCAGCTACTGTAAAAGAGATCATGAGAAATGGCAGTTGTGTCACCAACTGTCAACATGACATCCCCGGTCGGATTGAGGGAGAATTCACGCGGAGACGTTTGGAAACTGGTAGCGTCTATGAGACAGAACCATCGTCGCATTAGGATTACATAATGCTAAAATGGTCCATCTTTAAGATCAATTTAAAAATGAACATAAAATAGAACACACCATGGGCTTTGGGTCTTTTTGATGGTTTTCCCAATTTTCCGCGCCTCCCTGCATTGAATCTGTCGTCAAGCTAGATGAAAATCTCTCGAATTGTGGAGAAATTAATGGATAAAGTTCCGCCGCGAATGGTATGTACAATATTATATATACATATATATAGATAGATATATGTATCAAAAAATATAAATATATATATTATATATATACATATATATATATATACATATATATATATACATGTCGTGGAAAATTAACATGTTCCATTTCCATCATATCGGTTTACATGTTTATTGTTTCTATATCTATAGACTAGATAACAGCGTATATGTACCCCCTATACCAGTAGTACCGCACAAGGCGGCGGCGGAAGTTTCAAAAATAGGAAACCTATAGGAGAGATTGATTGTTGTGAATGACGGATGGCAGAGCGAATCCGCTGATGGACCGAAAGGTGGTTGGAGCTGTGCTTTTTGGAGTGGCTGCAATGGTTGCAGTGGTCACCTGGTCGGTCACGGTCACCTCACCCACAACTGATGGATGTAGTGTGGTGTAGTGCAGCTGTAGTTGTAGTTGTAGTGTAGTGGAGTTGTAGTTGTGGTGTAGTGTAATTAGTGTAGTGTAGTTGCAGTTGCATTTGTGGTGGTGTAATGAGTGTAGTGTAATGTAATGTAACGTAATGTAATGCAATGTGGGGTAGGGTAATGTAGCGTAGCGCAATTGAGTGTAGTGTGGTGTGGTGTGGTGTAGTGTGGTGTAGTGTAGTGTAGTGAAATACAATTAGCGTAGTGTAGTGTAGTGCGTAGTGTGTAGTGCTTAGTGTGTAGTGTGTAGTGCGTAGTGTGAAGTGTAGTGTAGTGCAATGCAAGTAGTGTAGTCGTAGTTGTAGTTGTAGTTGTAGTGTAGTGTAGTCACAGTGTAGTGTTATGTACTGTGTTGTAGATGTAGTTGTAGTTGTAGTTGCAGTTGCAGTTGTAGTTAGTGTAGTGTGGTGTAGTGCAGTGTAGTGTAGTCTAGTCTAGTGTAGCGTAGTGTAGCGCAGTGCAGTGTAGTGTAGTGTAGCGTAGTGTCGTGTCGTGTCGTGTAGTGTAGCGTAGTGTAGTGTCGCGTGGTGTAGTGTAGTGTAGTCTAGTCTAGTGTAGTGTAGTGTAGTGTCGTGTGGTGTAGTGTAGTGTAGTGTAGTGTAGTGTAGTGTAATTGAGTGTAGTGTACTGTAAGTGTAGTGTATTGGAGTGTAGTGTGGCGTAGTGGTGGTTGTAGTTGAAAATGCTACAAAACCCTCACGTTTGGCTCACTTTTGACAAGGTGCACAATCCCTCGCGCCTGCCATGCGAAACGACATCTGAACCTCCAAAAGTGGTCCGAGCATGTGGTGCTTTGTACATTTTGACTTGGAAATGTGCTTCGTGCCACAACGGCGTGCACTTTTTCAACATCGCAACTTCCAAAAGTGGTCCGAACATGTGATTTTTTTTAACATTTTGACTTCGAAATGTGCTTCGCGCCACAACGGCGTGCACTTTTTAGACATCTCAACTTCCAAAAGTGGTCCGAACGTGAAGTGCTTTTAGCTTTCTCACTTGCAAATGTGCTTCGCGCCACAACGGCGTGCACTTTTTCGACATCTCAACTTCCAAAAGTGGTCCGAGCATGGTGTTTTGTACATTTTGACTTCGAAATGTGCTTCGTGCCACAACGGCGTGCACTTTTTCAACATCGCAACTTCCAAAAGTGGTCCGAACATGTGGTGATTTGTACATTTTGACTTGGAAATGTGCTTCGCGCCAGCCAGATGGCTCCGCACCCGACGCTTTAGCGAGCCTACTTTTCGACCCTCCAGAGCCACAAATCATTGGAAAAACGCAGTGTTTCGCGACTTTCCTACCTTTTCGCGCACCTGCATCTTCTTTCTTCTGACTCTTTCTCTTCTCTGATCTTCTCTCTTCTGCTCTTCTCTCTTCTACTCTTCTCTTCTCTCTGACTCTTCCCATCTCTGCTTTTCATCTGTCCATATTGTCGGAAGTTTGACTTCTAAACTTCCTTCGATTATGAACTTATATATTCAATTCAATGTACTTTCCAGCAAGTTCACATAGATACGGAAAACCCACCAGAAATATAATTATAGGTCACGTCCCGAACAGGAAGCCATTTGTTTTCTACATACGTCATTCGTATATCTTACTTTGCTGGACAGGAATTCAATCTGCAACAGCCATCATTAGGGGTTGGAGCCAGCCCTTCTGGGGTGGCAAAAATGGTGGATTAGATGAATCTCCCGACATGAATCGTATCCATCTGATGGCCCTCATAACATTCTGTAACCATGGGATGTTCAACCCGGTCGAACAGGGGATATAAGGCCAAAAGGCTAGGGTATACTAGGGGTTGGATATCCACTTTCTTTACATCTAGGAACTGCTTAGCTCAAGGATACTGTGCCAATAGGTGCCGCATTATTTTGGGGGGTCGACCATCCTTTTAGTGCTGGACTTCGCAACCATCCACAGTATGTCCCTGTTTCTTGTTGCGCAACCAATTTCAAATGAACTACTTCCCAGACCAGTTCTTACACCTGGAAAGTCTAGGAGGGATGACGGCAAGTCGTCTTCCCAAAATACTCGGAATAGATTGCTTTGAAAATGTGAATCGATATTCATTTTGGAGTAGTCTTGTCATGACTTTATACGACTTTTATATAGTCGAATCAATTGATTCCGTGATTGATTGATTTGAAGTTGCATGCCTCTTTGGCGGAAACGGTTTCTTGATTTGAGCAAATTCTTCATTTTGTTTGTCGTACCCAGTGTTCCCCACGCACCCATTCCTCAGATTTTACCCTCTGGTAAACTAACATAACTATGGAAATCACCATTTTCAATGGGTAAATCCACTATTTTGACTGGGGCATGTTCAAGTTCGCAAACTGTTTCACAAATTGCCAGGTTTTTTTGCAAGACAGAGAAACTCAAATCCAGCTCCCGTGCCACTTTTGCAATGCTTCCACCACAACCCATGGCCCAAAAAATGGCAGCCACTTGGCCGGATTTTTTCGATCCACAAACTGCGGTTAAGTTTGCGGCGCAGTTTAGGCACCATTTGTCAGTGGATTGGTCAGACTGGTCACCGTAAAATTTTGGCAAACCTCAAGTACAATGTACCCTCTGATAAACTAACATAACTATGGAAAATCATCATTTTTTATGGGAAAACTCACTATAAATGGCCATTTTCAATAGCTATGTTAAATTACCAGAGGGTATTGAAATAGGTACAGTCTGAATATCCGCAACAATGATGCATACTATCTATTACTATGTTACTATTCTTATGCAAAGTTGATTGGATAATATTGGATATATGTTCACCCACACGAATGCGTTTAATGCGGTGCTTTTGGCCATCCTCAAACGAAGCAAGAGGGGCAGCAAGTATGCATCGCAAGCGCGAATCGCCAGTTTTCATCGATTTCATCTGTACCCAAAAAACATCAAAAAACTGGCTTCGCTGGTCACCAGCGAACTATTTCTCTTGATTTCTGATTCAATTCACCGGAAATCCCACCCATTCCTACATCGAAAACCACAAAACCAACCACCGGTTTGGTGATTAGATCCATTCCTTCGGGGTCCCCGTTGATGAAGGTGGTAATATTCGGGCAATGGGATTTCAATGGGGCGTTAAAAAGTAGGTACCCCAGAATCCAATGGATATCCCATGGTTTATCATGATGTCTCATCCAAATTGATCCAAATTGCAGTTTCGGTGTATGCCTCCGTACCCAAATCATGAAACAAAAAACACAAATTATATAGCTAATCTGATGAATGAAAACGAAAAAGTCAGAAAAGCAGAAATTTACCTTTGGAAATTAATTCTATAATCTAATCTATAGTAGCACCACTACCCTCCGGAAATCAAAAGTGGCAACCGATTAGTTCGATGATTTTTCCCAGCTGTAAACCTATAGCTACATTTGTAGGGGATGTCCCAGCTTGTCATGTTCGATTACCGGATGGTAATATCATGTAATCAAGTACTGTAATATCTCAATGTTCTCCGGATTTTCCCAAAGTTTTCCATATTTTCCGGCATTTTGCCATATCTTTCCCCAGCAACGGAGTGGTTTCCTTTTCTGCGTCCCCACCTCATGGCTGCAGCACCGTTCATCATGGGCGCTACGGGGGGAACGCCAGGCCTAGGATGAAAATCCGCCACAACCGGAGGTTTTTCTGACCGCTTTGGTCTACAATACGTGAGGCCCCCTAGATATGGGTTTCCATAAATGGGGGTGCCCCAAAACGTTGGATGGTTTATTTCATGGAAAATCCGAAAATCAAATGGATGATTTAAGGGTACCCCCATTTGTGGAAACCTCCAAATGGGTATATAACTATAGTTAATGATGGGGTTTATAGACCAACTTATAATTGGGGGCCTCACCTTGTATAAATGGGGGGAAAAAATCCCTTGCCATGTTTGATTTCCGCAGTGTAAATTCTCATAACTTGTCTATATTATTATATTCTTCGGGGATGTTCACTATCCGACTTTGATTTTGACGTTACTCATATTAGCTGATCCATAGATAACCTCGATGACGCTGATTCGGGACTCGAGCCCCCGTTTTCAGTAAGCCCCAAAAGAAGTGAAAAAGTAGAAAGCAATGGTAAAATCTAACTGAAATTAGTGGCAAATTATGGTTCGATATTTTTGGGTATATGGATTAATGCATAGTCTAGGTACTAGCTTGGATTGGTAATTGGATAATCATCTATAGCTCCCATGCTATCCCATCAATAATAGGGTGATACCCATGGCTACACATGGTTCCAAACTATGTAGCAACTGGGACGTACATCCTAGTCTAAGCCCAATGTACCTACCCCCTGATAATCAAACATGACTGGCTGGAAATTTAACATGCGTACTGGAAAACAGATCATATAAAACCTTTGCAGCTTTAAATGAATGAAATTGCGAATGCGAAGCCCAAATATGCGTATTAATGGAAAACAAAATCCAAGGTCCTGAAAATGGCTGGCCACAGACTAACTGTTGCAAGTGCATTAAGTATATAGGTTACAGTTGTATCAAAAGGGGCACATGCTGAAAATGATGGATACAGTCGGCACCCCCGATTGGGGCCATACAAGGAATTTGCAAAAGGAAGAGGAAAAAACCCGGTTTATTATTGCAATATCAATGGGAAAAATGACGATCAGCATAGGATATTCAATGATGTATTGGCTTATCCCCCACTATGCCAGTGGATAGGAACAGCTGTTCTTCTCTGATGGTGGTGACTGGCCATGTGAGGGATTGAGGGATTGGGAAGCCCCCAACACTGAGAAAGAAAGCGGAACCAATACGTCACTGGGGCGATTCTAAACAGGGAAATCTGCAGGAATAGTAGACCAAAAGCGAGTCTAAACGGGTCTCGAATGGGCCCTGAAACAGTGCTGAACAAAACTCATCTTAGTAAAGCAATGTCATAGACCAGCCATATTTTGATCGTTTATACCATCCATCATTATCATTCATTATCATCATTTCTGGTAAATTGAGGATAGTGTACTATTGCTTTTCTAACATTGGGATACAGCTAAAATCCACCGGTTTGTCCCTACGGGATTGCATTGTCCACCCCGTTTCCTGTGTTCGTAGCGTCCGTGCCAAGCAGCTGTTGATTGGTGCTATCGCCCTTCTTCTTGGACTGACAGGTGGAAATGGTGGTTCGGCAGGGCCGGTAGTGGGTGGAGCTTCAAAATCTTCAAATCACGTGGCAAACCATGAAAAAGGGGCTAGATGACAACCCCACCAATAATGACTTAGAAAGGGCTTGTTAACCACCAACAACAACTTGAAGATGGTGGATACTTCCAGTTATGGCCATGTTCATGGGAAATTTCATGATTTTTTCAGCATGATGTTTCTTCGGGTGTGCCGAAGATTCTCAGAGAAACAGAGAAAGCCATACTGGAAACATCTGGAAAATCATATTGGAACATACAACATATTTATACTCCAGATTAAACCAGGACCACGTTACACAACCATCAACAGAGGTGCACTGGGCATCGCTTATGAGTTCTCGGAGCCACAGATCTTCAGATCCTTTCAGTGGACGAACACCTTCCGGAATGACCATGAAGTTTCCTACTGAGGCCCCCGTTTACGATAGCTGGGCTGGTGCAAATGACTAGGTTGATTCTATGTTTCATGATCAATATATCGAACTAGTCAAGGGCTTCACAATCCAACATAGCCATTCCTGGGCCTTACCTTGTGGGTTAGGACACGCTGGACCCACGGTTCTCCCAAGTTCATGATCCAAGCTACAACAGGGACTCCCTATCGTCAGATCTATCCATCTATCACGATGAAAATCCGCCAGATGGCGTGTTGTTGAACTCCCTATATGGTTCCAAAGATGCCGGGGCTAGCCATGGCTACCATGGAAAAAACCGGTAGCCCCCTTTATCATCCAAAACCTCCTGACTGATCATCCTTTTTCTCTTGGGGGGGTAGTTGTACCCCATGTTCAGACATGCTCAATAGATCTCAATACTTTGTGGTTTCAACCCTACAGAAAATTCTTGCCATCATCATCATCGTCATCATCAATTCCCCTATTTACTGGATGGAAACTTAAGATTGTAAACACTACCAACCAGCCATATTGGTTTTATCTCCCTTTCATGATGGCTACATTTTTCATGTTTTGCTTGGTTGAATCACTTCAACCTGGCCAATCTCAGATACCCTGAAAATTGGGGGGGAAGAACTCCTGCATTCCAGTCGATTTTCCCAAGGGTTTCCCAAGCCAGTGATCGTTTCGCACCTGCCCTGCGTTCTGCTCCTTTCTCAGGCGCTGGATGGTGTCCACGACGATCTTCCCAGCCTAAGGTGACACCAAAAAATCATCGAGGTGGCACGGTGGCACTCAAAGAGAAAATCCCATGGATTCAGGAGCCATTGAACATGGTTCATTTAGTTCGTGGATTATAGTGATTTAATGGGATGTTATAGTGATTTAATGGGATGTTATAGTGATTTAATGGGATGTTATAGTGATTTAATGGGATATGAATGGGATATACCCTCTGGCAAACATACAAAAAGCTATTGAAAATGGCAATTTATAGTGGATTTACCCATTAATAGCATGGTGGATCTTTCCATTGTTTTTTGTATGACGTTTACCAGAGGGTAAATCATTGGATATCATTGGTCTGTAACTTGATCATTTTTTGATTAATAATACTGTACAGATCTAGATATAGATATACAAAATTATACAAATGGATCCTTTTCGATGATCCTTTTCCACCTGAACCATACCCCAAAGACTTTAGAAGGTCAAAAGCGCCCCTTGGATCCAGAGCCTTGCGGCATCGCGATGCAGAACCCAAGGGAAAGTAAGGTGGAAATTTCTGGCTTTCCAGCGGTAAAGCCGCTTAGGGAACCACATCGAAGATGGCTACGCGTTTGCAAACACGTCAAATGAATAGTATCAATGGATTGGTTTAAGGGAAAATCTACAGGAAAGCCCCATATTTAATGGGAAAATCTATGGTTTCCTGTAAATTTTCCCTTAAACCAATCCAATCATAGTATGGTACGAGCAAACCAACTGACTCGACTCAGCCAATCCAATTTGTCTTATCTGAAACGAGAAAAATGTGTTGTCGTCGCCCGGACCATGAAAACGCGAGTCAATCCGCGCCGTCGCAGTAAAATGGCAGCTAGACAAGGCGGCCCTGAAACAAACGGGGGTGCTAAAAAATAAAGTAAGCCGCACAGTTATGGCCCAACTCACAGTTTTAAATGGCTTTATAACGATATATAACGATATATAACCTTGGTTATGGGGCTTATATTTCCATTTATAACTGTTCATGGCCATAACTGCAACCCTTGGCAAAGGGATCGCAGTGGGTTCCCAAGTCCGGATACCCGGAAAAGTGTGAAACGAAAATGCTCTTGTTTTTCACGGAGGCTCTAACGGGAAAACGATCTATTGTCGCTATTAAAACATGGTTTTTTCTATAGCAATCATAGCAATCATCTTTTAAAAAACGATCTATTTCTATGGAGGATGTCCGGGATGTCGAATTGCTATGTTTGAGCCATCCAGAGGCTATCTTGATTCATCGATGGCGGTTCCATGATTCCCATCCAAAAGCCATGCTCAGCAGGAAAAGCGCCATCTGAAACTCTGAAAATCCAAAGGTATGAATCATTCCTCTGTTTAACATGGGTCATTAAATGTCCCCATTGAACATCACCCAACCATTAGGTATATGTTCTATAATGGCTACTATCAGGTGATGTTCAATATTCCCAAAATGGGACAGTTACCAACCTCTGTTTAAAGCGACAAATTTCAAACATAAAACAACTCCAAGCCAGTTGTAAACTCAGATATGATAAAGATGATAAAGTGAGAAGCGATGACATGATGAAAGTTGTCAAAAAAAAAGTCGTAACACCAGTCATTATAGTTTGCTGGTGCTGGTACCTCCATTCTTTCTTTAAACACCAGTTCTTGACACCTGGGCCTATCAATCTTCTTGCAAAGAAAAAAAATGCTAGAGCCAACAGCAAAGGCCTCAGAGTGTGTCACACCTTCGCTATCTGAAATATCCCATTTGCTCTTTTTCTGGTCGGTTTCAAATGTTAAAAAATACAGTGTCAATTTTTTCATGGTTTCTTTGGTTTCACTTGGGGAGTTCTTAAAATGAAGGGATCCCAGGATCCCCAAAACCATCTGCTGGGTGAGCTCCAGGCATACCCAATCGCATGCACCGTGGCAATGGTGCCAAACTTCTCTTGTAGCGACCTGCCAAAACTTTCAGAACGACCACAGGATACCTGTGGGGGGTTGTCAGAAAATGATGTATACCATCTGGTTATTTAACATAGCCATGGAAAATCACCATTTTTAATAGGAAACCCATCTATAAATGGGCCATTTCCCATGGCTATGTTAAATAACCAGAGGGTATATACCATTGTATACCCAATTCCCATGGATATCCATGGATGATTATCACCGTTCCCAGTTGAAATTGCTGTTATGGGGATGTACTGATATGATTGGATAAAGCCATGCCCGGCAGACCCAAAATTCACAATTCACAAGTTCAGCTGGAAATTCTGAGGCAAATAAGGTATGTATGAGCTACTTCAAATCATGGAACTTTTATCATTCTACTTCATGACGCGGCGCTTTTTATCGATAACAAAAACACCAATGTTTTTTTGTCGAATCGGGATAAAATCTTACATGTCCTCTATTGTATCAATTTTGGAGATCCATCACTGTCCAACCACCAAAGAGTGATGTTGAAACTGCCAAATTGCCGAAATATCAGGACCGAAGAATGGGATGATTGTTCTGAAGGGCACTTTGGGAACCACTTGGCGAAACCTCATGGCAGCAATTGTGCTTTTGAGACTCGCGGACGGCCATTTCAATTTAGAAGAGGTTTCGAAGCACAGTTCGCAAGTCCCGAAACGCGAGTACAGCCCTGAAGTTTTCCGCTTAATGCCCCAAAAAAGCTATGGAATATGTTTTCCTATTACCCTCCAGTAAATTAACATAGACCCTGCCAGATAGGGGTTAAAAGATTAGTTTAGTTTCCTCTAAAAATTGGTGATGTTCAGGGTCTATGTTAATTTACCAGAGGGTAATGGATTACAATAATCCCCAAGAAACCAGCTCATCGACCAGGGTCAACTGATCACTCTGTATATAGTCGGGTTCCTATGGTTCCTGGACCCATGTGAACTACCCCAAGCCTAAACCAAGAAAACATTTGCAAATTCTAGTCATTTTCAGTGAAATTCAGAGATATACGGTAAGTTCATATCAATTGATAGAAGTTTCTCCCAAACATGGATCCACACCCCTGGGATGTAAATGTCTGAAAGTCCCAGCTCCGGAAACTTGACAGCCGAAGCCAAGTGAAGTACGGAAAGATCTAAACGAAACCCGGCTGTTTATCCAAGATTTAAATCCCATGTTTGTTGGAACAACGTGGCATAACCAGCATGAGTTAATTATTAGCACCCATTTAATTCTTGGTTACACGAAAATTCAGCATGGAACCATTGAGCCCCGGAGCCTCTGTCCCTAGGTCCCATATGTAAAAAATATGTAAAATAAGCTGCTTCCATATCTTCCATGTGGAAATTTACCACAGTCCCATGGTCCCATTTCCATTTCTGGTTGGTGGTTGAACCCTACCCCTCTGAAAAATATGAGTTCGTCAGTTGGGATGATGACATTCCCAATATATGGAAAAATAAAAAATGTTCCAAACCACCAACCAGATATATATATATATTACCCTCTGGCAATTTAACATAGCTATTGAAAATGGTCATTTATAGTGAATTCTCCCACTAATAATGGTGATTTTCAATCTTTAAGGATGGCTGGATGGCCAGGCCGAGGCGCATGATTCCCAGTGCCGCATAGTAGGGCCCAGAGACGTCGTTTTCACAGTGGAGCCGCTGGAACCTGCGGCGATTTTTACATCGACCAAATCGACCCAGGCATCGACGGTGAAATCATGTGAAATGCTATGAAAATGAGCCATAACCATAGTATAATCATAGTATAACCATGGTATAACCATGGTATAACCATGGTATAACCATGGTATAACCATAGTATAACATAGTATAACCATGGTATAACCATGGTATAACCATGGTATAAGCTAGTGATTGATGGCTCAAAAAGATTTTGTATATCATTTTGTATAACCCAGCTAGATGATACACACTTCGATGAATGGTAAAGGTCACCCCAGATGAATGGCGAATCAATGGGTTTCCCGGTTTTTCCTGGCTGCCTGGGTCCAACAGGAATGGGGGATCATGATGAATTCATGGCAGGTGTTCAACCGATTTCCAACGACCCAACATTTGTTGGGAGTTGACCAATGAATGCTTGGGATCAAATGAAGAAAACACAACGGCTTTCCCAGCAAAATTGGAACTCACACGTCACAGATCCGGGACTATCCAACAAGAATTGTAACTATGTAACCACTCACAAACGGGGATAGGACCGAACTACAGTAGTCAAAGGATATGAAATGCGTGGAATATTTAAAGGAGTGCCACTTTAATCACTTTAGGACAACAAATTGAGAATCCCCAGGCTAGAAGTATCCAATTTTGGAGGGTCAAGACTTTAATGATCAAATCCACCATCAAATGATGGGTCAAGATTGACCAAAAAAAACCATACCCAGGTGAGGTTCAGTGATGGCTAGGTTTATCAACCAGTTAAACCATCAAACCAACATAAATCATGGTTAACAGTTAACCAGTTAAACAACCATATCACTGATTTTATGGTTTGATATATCCGATTTGATTTAAACTGCTTCGATATATCTAGCATAAATCATAGTTAACCGAGTGACAGTCACTAACTTGCCGCTTTCGTTTTGGAGCATCACCGGCCGAATGTCAAATTGGCCAAGAAACATGCGCGGTGTCTCCATCGAGAGGACGTCCTGTCGTGAAGTGGCACAGAAAACGGGACCTCCTTGGTGCTGCATTTGAGTAGCTTCAAGCAGACTATAAACCCTGGTTGGTGGTTTTAGCCATCTTGAAAAATATGAAAGTCAATGGGAAGGGTTATCCCATATATTGTGGAAAATAAAATTCATGTTTGAAACCACCAACCAGAACCTAATGAAATAAGTGGACGAACCCTGTTTGCCCAACTCAGAACCAAATATAATCACGGACTAAGTAGGATGAACCACCAAATAGAGGGCTATCAAATTCCGTGATAAGCGCCCAAAAAAACTGTGGTTTCTTGAGAAAGATTGGGGACGCATCTGCACTTACTTCCCTGAGTACGGATCAAAGTTTGGGTTGCTATTGACACAAAAGGCTGGTCATTTCTACTATCTGTCCAGCCAATTGTGGGGAAACCGGTTTTAGCCATACCCTCTAAGTACGCTGAATCTGTCTAAGAGTACTACACCCTGTCCCGAAAGGGCAAAAGACGGTCGAAGATTCAAAACCTATGAAGCTGTATCCCCCCGAATCACTCCACGCGGATGCACAATCCAAACAACAAATCGATGTAAAAAATGATATAAAACCAAGCATTGGAAACCACTCTAAGCAGTTGATCATTGAAAGCACCAAGCACGAGCTTTTGTTGCAGCTTCAACCAGCGCGATCCACTGCCTTGTCCGAGGGAAAGTGATGGATTGCGCAGCCGGTGATTCGAACATTGGCCTTGACCTCCGCGGTGTGCCCCGCGAGATTCGGGTGGCCAAAAAGGTACCAACATATGCTCCACTGTATCTGGTTGGTGGTGCAATAACCATCTTGAAAAATGATGGAGTTCGTCAATGGGGTTGGGATGACATCCCATATATGAAATGGAAAATAAAATTCATGTTTGAAACCACATTAAACCAGGTGCCAGGTATGTTTACCTACGTTAAACACATGCTATTCATTTTGGGATTAGATCTTAGATCCAAAATCTATCTTGCCCTCTGGTAGCCATTTACATAGCGAACTGGAGAATCACAAAATGTCAATAGGCAAATCATCTGGCTATGTCTGGCCATGGCTTCCATAGCGAACTGTGAGGGTGTCCAGAATGGCTCGAAAGCCACTCTTAACAGGATTTGAGATGAATTAAGGAGGCATCGAACAAGAGAGAGGAATATAGACTGCGGGTGAAATCCCAACCACGGATGGTGTTCTTCCTTATGAAGATGTGTCCATTTCTAGCATGATCTTATCCAAGGTTGCTTCGCATAGATGTTTTCATCCAAGGATGATATCAAGATCATTCCTGCTTATCCAACAACATGATCGGGAGCATACATAACTCAGCAATCTGATGTTGTTCTTCAAAGTTGGCCAGGACAAAGACAGTTTTTGGGTACTTGGGCCCAATCCCTTGCAATCTCCAATGTTCAAGTTTGTTCTAAGATTTTTTCACCAACAAAAGGATGGTTTTTCAACCCTGATGGGATCAACATGGATAAACCACCGTTTTTGGTGAAAAACACGGATTTCTTTCACCAAAACCCTGCCATAGCTCCGAACGCTGGCGACCCGGGCATTGTGCTCTGCCAGGCGTTGCTTACAGTGCTCCGTCTTCTCCGGGATCAAGACCACCAGGTACAAACGATCCTGGCGTGGTATGGGAACGTGATGAATTTCACTGGTGGGTGGTTGAGCCACCCCAATATACAATTACCCTCCGGTAAACTAACATAGCTATTGAAAATGGCCATTTATAGTGGATTTACCCATTAAAAATTGTCATTTCCCATAGTTATGTTAGTTTACCAGAGGGTATATGGAAAAATAGAAAAAATGTTCCAAACCACCAAGCAGTTGAGGATTTCTTCACTTCTCAGAATATACATAGCTAATTGGTGGTTGACCTACCCCTCTAAAAAATATGAAAGTCAGATTGGATCATCATCCCAACTATTGGGGAAGTCATAAAATTTATGTTCCAAACAACCAACCAGATTAATACATACTCATCTTGAATAATTATGAAATGATATGGCACCTCTAAAATTCTCAATATATATATATGCCATTTCTATTTGATCACATTTACCGCGTTGCGGTTTTTGGGATGAGGCACTCCGACTCCGTGTATCTTGACCAGGTCATCCACTCCCCAAGATATGTTGAGGTTTGTGACGACTGGTTAGTGATATTCCAAGATGTTTGTGGTGGAATTCTTCCCCAAGATACTGGTGAGTGGAATATCCAGTGAATATGTTCTGACGACTGGAAGACTGGCCCCTGCTGAGTGATTCATACATTGAAAATACCTTTATTTCGACTTGTGAAAAAACATGGCACATAGCCACTAGCCGTGAATTTCACCAAGGACCCCCGACAGGCCAGCAAGGCCATGTTCGAAGATTTGCTGGTGAAATATGGCGAAATCCATGTCTCGGTGAATTGTCTAACTGTCTAACTGAGAATCTGGGGATGTGACAGAAAAACCCTGGAAATTGAGCCTTGGAGGAACTCAAAATTGCCAATTGAACTCTCCACGAAAACGGTCGGAAAAGCGGGCTCCGGCCAAATCCTCTTGGGACAACCGGAAACCCATCATGGCCGCCATGGGCCCCCCTGAAGCGTCATCGTCCCACCTTGGCTTCACGTTCATCCGCGTGGATTTGCTTCGCGATCATGTCCACCAAGTCCTAGGTCGAGCACCGCTGCCATCGGTCGACCAAGGTGGCTTCCACAGCTTCTATGGCTGTGACTGCAAAGGTTGCCAGAAAGGGTGATGTTCGTCTCAACCAAGCCTGGAAAACTCAGAAAATGAAGGGAACGACCCTTAAATTTTTGTTTCCCCAAACATTGGGATCTCATGGTGACTTCACCAAACTTGGGCTACAAAAAATCAAAAAAAGGTGACCCCAGGCGGCCCATGTAAGAAAGACATGCTCTTCACGGAGCTCTGGAAGGTCACCTCCCAGTGTCTCTGGAATGTACCCTCTGGTAATTTAACATAGCTATTGAAAATGACCATTTATAGTGGATTTTCCCATTGAAAATGGTGATTTTCCATAGTTATGTTAGTTTACCAGAGGGTACATTTATACTATATTCGGAATTTAAAAGACTTAACCATCATTATACATTATATATTTATATACAATTATATACATGTATATCAACATACATGTTATGGGATTGTTTGAAAATGACGGTATACGTATCCCCATTTCAAGTGGATGATTATCAAAAATAACAAAAAGTGTGTGGGTCTACCAGCCGATATAGCAGCCGATACAGCCCATTTCCAGGCACACCCAAAATCAAATCGATTCTATGGGGGTGGGTCCAAACCTATATTCATACCCAGTATTACATCCTATAAACCTATCAATTTTAGTGGGATTTTCACATCTCGTCTTACCAGCTATTTTGAGGTTCACGTACGGTACTGCTTGGTTTACCATATGCAAACGGTTTACCTCCAAAGTTTGGTCATGAATCCCTTGCTAAGATTTAAGGCCGGGCCACGGTTTTGCAAAAAACGCCCACATGTTGATGACGAACAGTGGAAAACCCAACGAAATATGAGCACCTGAAAGCCCTTAAATCAGCATCTAGTAAGGGTGCTTGCTTGATACATCAATCATAAGTTTAAACGCTTATCTGATTCACCATTGGGTTTAGGGATCATGTGGTTGTTAACCATCATAAATCATCCAATTTGGGAATGGTAAACATACCACCTATATATTTATGGTGATGACTGGGATTGTTTCTTATTGTTTTAGCCACATTACACGATTTTCAGACAACTCACCATATCCAAACTACCCAACTCACCAGGTGGTTTCAGCATGTTTCAGCATGCCGCCATGTCGCGACGCGTTCACTCCGCACCAAGAAAATCATCTGGGCACAATCAGTAGTCACCTTGGTTTTTGTTGGCCAGTCTTGAGGATAAAAATCGGATAAAATTTTGATGGGATTTTTTTCCGATGGACTTTCATGAATTGCTCATGGGATTTCATGGAGATAAAAGATGCCCACACGGGGATCATCCTGCGCCGAGATGCTGGTTGGGACTGGTTGGGGGTTGAGTCAAGCCTACCCCTCTGCAAAAATCATGGAGTGAGTTCGTCAGTTGGGATTTTGACATTCCCAACTCAATGGAAAGACATAAAATTCCATGGTTCCAAAGCACCAACCAGTATTCAATCAACATGTTGAACACTGCTCAGCTGGTAATTCAACGGGATGAACGCCAAGAAAAATGTGGATTTACACCGACCACTTTCGGGGATAGAATGGGGATGTAACCGGATATATACCCAATATGATGAATTTGGCTTTCTGAAAATGGACACTTTACCCCCCTCGGAAACTTTAATGGTACATAAACTTTAAAGGTGACCAATTTGTAATGAATTGTTGCATTTGTTTTGCTGGACTTCATCATGTCATCATGCTTATTTCCATTGCCAATCAGCCAGATACCCTGCAAAAGATGACAATTTCTTTGCTGGTGAACCTAGATATTCCCATTAATACCAAAAGACTAATGGTAATGGTTAGGTATCCATGTAAGATTGACCTAGTCTCAAGGGTCCCCTTCTTGCAATAAGCATGATAGAAACGCAAGGTCTACTCGAGAATGGAGCACTGAGAATCATCCCAGCAACTGATGACCCGAGAAATCAACAAGTCCGAGACCCGATTTCTGGGCTTAACATGGGTTTAACCGTTTTTAGAAACCTTACCACCTGGTTATTTAACATAGCCATGGAAAATCATCATTTTTCATGGGAAAATTCACTATAAATGGTGATTTTCAATAGCTACGTTAAATTACCAGAGGGTATTTGCAGGTGCAAAATACCTCATGAGACATTTCTTGCATCGGATGGTATATTCCTACTTTGGTCACTTGAGCAGTTTCGAAATCCTATCAGAAGATCCCGGCCAATTTGGACTGGTTGGTTAATGGGGATTAGCCCTTACATCGGCCCAGCTCCCCCAAGGTTTTTGAAAGTGCTCAGCTCAAATCCCAGATCAATCATGCCTCACCAGTGCTCCACTGTGGTTCCATACCGGCTGGTTTTCAAGCTTGTACCTCACCGCACCCGAACATTACGACCCGAACCAGGTTGCATCTGTCTGAGACGACCTGACTTTTATGATACAGTATAATGTAGGTGGATAGATTGATAAATAGATAGATAGATGGAATGGATAAGATAGGATAGGATAGGATAGGATGCGATCAGATAAGATTAGATAAGATTAGATAAGATCAGATTAGATCAGATTAGATCAGATTAGATCAGATTAGATCAGATTAGATCAGATTAGATCAGATTAGATAGATAGATAGGTAGATAGATATATATAGATAGATAGATAGATAGATAGATACAGATATAGATACAATTATAGATATAGATATAGATATACATATAGAATAAACCTGTGTTACCCCTCTGGTAATTTCACATACCTAGTGAAAACGGCCATTTAGTTCGTTGATATATCTATGAAAATTAACCATTTTCCAGTTTGCAAGCTGTTGAACAACGAGAGCATAACCTATCTGTGGTGGTCCTGCAAATCTTAGATACCCTGCAAACATCAATGGGTTTTTGCTGTGTTTTACAGCATAGAAAAGTACTCCACTTGACTTAAAGCTTGAAAAATGACCCCATGAAATCCCATGAAAACCCAAAAACCCTTCGCCATAATGAGAACTCCATTCTGGCTAAAAACCACCATTTTTTGGAAACAAAATTCCGGATAAATTGCCAATTTCTTGCTCAGAAGCAGGCCTGTTGAAGCAAATTTGGATTCGTGTCATACCCAAGACCCAATATAAAAAAACAGAAAGGTTTAAACGTCTGTGTTTTTGTCGTTTTCCTCTAACATCATAGATCTTAGTCCGAACCACGTCCCTGGCCACGTCCACGTCCGGACGTCCGCGGCGCACCACTGCTGCACTCCATGGTCCTTGAGATCTCCCAAGCTCACCACCAAGTCCAGAGGTCGCATCTGAGCCAAGAGTTGTATAGATGTAATATAGGTATTGATTATAAACTCATGGTTTCCTAACCTAGGAATAACTAACTCATAGGTATAAGAGTTACTAACTCATAGGTATATGGAGGTTTCCTAACTCATGGTACCTATATTAGGAGGTATAAAATAAGTATATTACCATATATCCTCCATATAAGTAACTCCTCTTATTCTGGTCCAGAGGTATATGGAGGTTTCCTAACTCATGGTACCTATATAAGTTATATAAGAGGTGTAAAATAAGTATATTACCATATATCCTCCATATAAGTAACTCTTATTCTGGTCCAGAGGTATATGGAGGTTTCCTAACTCATGGTACCTATATAAGTTATATAAGAGGTATAAAATAAGTATATTACCATATATCCTCCATATAAGTAACTCTTATTCTGGTCCAGAGGTATATGGAGGTTTCCTAACTCATGGTACCCCAGATCCAAAATGATCATTGATTATCTTTGGTGTCCACAGAATGGCTGATGTTTTTATAGAATAAGTATCTACCTATATCACAGGATATGGTCAGTCTATATCAATTGGGATCGGAAGAATCTGGGTAAATTGTAATATTTCACTACCCTGAATTAAGGCCATTTGGGGATGATTTCCCTTGCTAACCATGATTCCAGTGAGGTCGCAGTGAGGTCGTTATAATTTACCCAGATATTTGCAATATTAGCAGTATCTTCCCTCAATGGCCATTTCAGTTGAGGCCATATTTGGGGTGCATATCCCCTGACATATCTGAAGCCTTTAATATGGCAGGTACCCCCAAATTAGGGCCCAAATTTGGTCGTTGATTCCCGGTCTTCTCTTGAATCTTCAATGTCCATAGGGTCTCTTAATTAGTTTTTCCCCTGCCACAGGTGAGGGTCTCTAGATTTCAACAAAGGTGCAACTCTTCTCCTCTCCTCCTCGTCTCGCTGCTCCAGATCAGGCTGGGCACGGACCCCAACAGATGCCAGATAGAATGTCAGGTTATATGTCAGCAAGAATGCCATAAAACATGTCAGAATATTGATACAATAGAATGTCAGAATATATGCCAGATAGAATGTCAGTTGGTGGGGATCACTCAAAGAAAGTAAATCATATATTAAGTATCAGTATCTACCTATATCACAGGATATGGTCATGGGGAATGATGGAGATATTTAATTACAATCGCCTATAGAGCTGGATATATCCCCTAGTTATGGATGATTTTCCCAGTTAGAAATGTGGAAAAAAAGTATTTTCCAGCCAGCCATGCTTGATTACCGGAGCCATATACATGGATGCTGCGTAATGTTAGATATGTTACCCTCTGGTAAACTAACATAACTATCGAAAATCACCATGCTATCAATGGGAAAATCCACTATTTCTATGGTCATTTTCAATAGCTATTTTGACATAACCAGAGGATAAAGTTTCCAAGTGTTCTATTGGGGGGTTAGCTTCCAAAGTGGGAAGTTGTGATTAGCTACGTGGTGAGGCCCCCATGGCAACGAAATCGCCCTCCGTTGACGCACAGAAAACTTGCTTTACGTTGGGGAAAAGGGGAATATACCCTCCAGTAAATTAACATAGACCCTGCCAGATAGGGGTTGAAAGACTAGTTTCCACTATAAATTGGTCAGTTTCAGGGTCTATGTTAATTTACCAGAGGGTAACTATTGTTTATACTCTGCTTGTATGGAAAGGCACCTATTCTGGATATTAATGATTTATTTTTATGTTCCCTACTATTTGGGAGGATGAAATTCGGATATATAGGGATATTCATGCTAGGGGATGTGAATGTTATACGTACTTCCCCTATAATTCATGACTATTCTAGTTGGACTCTACTGTTCTACCTTTTTGGGGTTTATCACCTATAACCTGGGGATATTCATGGGGGATATTCATGGGCATACATCATTATATGACCTTTAGAGATACCAGCAAAACACTGGTTGACCTAAACAATGGCAGTCTAAAAAACCTAGGAACACAATGGTGGTCCCAGCAACAACCAATCAAAAAAAGGTCTCTAAAAAGGTCAGGGGTAAGGTATATCATCACCAAACCTTGATTATAATGGGGATATATTGGGATATATTCTAACAAATGAGCTCGTATTCCGGAAGGTTCAAATGGTCCTCCAGTTCCTTGACGTCCTCCTCCAAGATACTAATTATGACGTTTCTGATTTTTGGGGGGATATGAATGATCAATATTAATTATCAATAATAATAATAATAAGCGAAAAATGACGAGCTCAAGGGGTGGAAACTTATAATGCCGATGAATGCCATAGATGGGTCAGTCATCGGTGAGTCGGGGATGGGACAAATGGCGAATTTTCACAGCAAAAATGATGATTAGCAATTGCATTTGCTGTGAAATTATAGATTCTATGTAGCAATGATTAGCAAAATGTTGTGTAGATTTCATTTGGAATTCCAGATCGAATTGATTTTTGCACCACCCGAAGTAACTTCGCGGAGCCTGCCACGAGTGGAAGACTACTTTCCAAGTCCAGGTGATGGCAATCACCATGATATCCCCCCAAAGTCTAAATTGAATCATAAGAGGGCGATAGAAAGATTAATGGACCCCTATGATGTTCATAATTTACATAGCCCCTAATTGATGATGTATATATATATACGCATATTCTATCTATATACATATGCATATCTATGTATGTATATATATATATATAATTATATAGATTATATGTATAGTAGTGTGTATATATATATATGTGTGTGTATATGTCTATATATATATGATTATATATGTACAGTAGTAAATCTATATATGTACTGTGTATATATATATATGTATATACATGTCTATCTATATACATATATAGAGATATAATATATATATAATATAGGTGTATATTAATTCGCGGTACCATGAAATCTTCCACTCTCAGCCCAAACAGACCCAAGAGACGATGCTGCTGTCGAACAGCAAGACCTTCCGTCCAGCCACCTGTCGTATCGGTATGACTTTTGGGATTTGGGTATGGCTTAAAACCCTACCCTGGTTTTCACACCAAAATAGTTGGTAAATAGATGTTCGCCCCAAATATGTGGTTGGTTCCCAGCTCCCTGAAAAAGTTTAACTTCTAGTCATCAGGTATAAAGTATCATGATCCCATTTAAAAAAAAGACTAAAAGTCTGGCTGGGAATGGCTGGGAACCATCATGATTAGACAGCAGCAAGTTGATGTCCGACATGTTGATAACCTGGTAGTGTTAACTTCCCCATGTTGAATTTGTCGGACATCCACTATATCGATTCGGAAAAGATTGACATGTTAAAAAAGGAGTTCCGGAATGGCGAGCATAACAGGTCTGGAGATGTCGTGCAACTCGTAAATCACACAGAAATCGACAAACAACTACCATATATAGTTTGCATCTACTTGCATGTTCTCTACATTGTCTAGAAATTGGAGAAACCTTGTTGGTGGATCTCTTCGAATTCTTCCAACGTAAAACTCTCCCGATTCCGAAGCGGATTCCGAATCGGATTCCGAAGCCACTTGGTGGTCGCTAGGGTCGGTCGCTACACTGCCACTGTCATCTTGGAACCGAAGTCTTTTTGTTCTGGTTTTAGCCGGTCAGTATATATATATATATAGACATTTATATATATATATATGTGTATATATATACATATATACTAGTGTATATATATATAAATATATATATATATATATATCATTATATATCATTATATATCCACATTTATGGCCACTAGAGTATTCCAATCCCTTTCATTTCACGTCATTTCAAATCCTTTCGTTCATTCATTCCCTCATTCATGCAATTCAAGTCAACTCAACGCAATTCAATTCAATTCAATCATTCATCCATTTTCTTCATTGCATTCATTTCAATTCACCTCGTTCCAGCTCATCAACAATTCCTATAAGCAAACTGGTTCCTATAGTCATGTCCTATTTTCGAAACTTCCGCCCCGGCGCGTGCCACGGGCACCTGGTATCCTCATCTGACTCAATATCTGCATCTGATAATAAGTTCAAAATCCGTGGTTAATCACCAAGCATTGCAGCAGCTTCTAATTACAACCCCAGATTGGTCTCAAACTTATCAACCCCCAAAAAAAAATTGCCGGCGAAACTTGGTAAGTTTAGGACAAAAAATCGCCAGCAAGTTGTGGGTGCATTTGATCAATTATAATGATTATACCCTCTGGTAAACGTTTACAAAAAACTATCGAAAATCACCATGCTATCAATGGGAAAATCCACTATTTCTATGGTCATGTTCAATAGCTATGTTAGTTTACTAGAGGGTAATGTCATCAACCAATAGGAATTTGGTCCATGAAATCCCCATGGATTCCCATGGATTCCCCATGAGGCTGCTGACCTCATCCAGTAGGTCCAGCAACTTCGCACGCACATCGCTGCGAACCTCGCTACACGGCACCCTTCAGAAAGGGCTGGAATTCAAGTTAGTCCAGTCAAGTTAATCCAGTTAATCATCCAACAATCAGAAAGAATCATCAATCATCCAACAAACTCACTGAGTTTCAGAACGAGGACGTCTGGTAATTACAGCTAGCCCAGTCAACTGGCCGTAGGAAACCACCGGACCCAGTCCCATGAGTTTCAGGTCCCCTACAGCTGCCACGATCTCTGCCACGTCCGTCATGACCCCATGGCGAAATGGCTATTTTAAGAGGGAAAACCCTGGGAAGTGGCCGTTTTTTGGAATATGGAAAGGTCTGGGAAAAGGGGAAAAGTATGGCTATCACCCACTTCTGCTGAAAATGGTGATGCTCTCCATTTTCTTAGGGACTTTGGGAGAAGTTGGTTGACCAACTAGGCACCAACTACTATGGGAAATACTTATGAAAAATGAGGGGTTTAAGAAACAAGAAGGGGGGTACCCCAAAAATGACCAGTTTCGGATATCATGGGGGAAAATGGGCTTGGAGTGGGGGGAAATCCCTGAAATTTTGTTCAGTTTCGTTGGGGAAATCCTGGAACCGGTGGGGCATCCCATGTAGACATGGTGGGGCCTTCGGCTTCTCGGCTTCGCACTGAATGGTTTACACTGGGTTTTCCAATTGAGTTTACCCACCGGTCATCAAACGTGGCTAGCTGGAAAACCCCTAAAACCGGAAAGTTTCAATGGGAAACTTCTATAAATACGGATGATTACCAGAGCGCAACCATCAAAATTGCCACTTCATATGGGCTACACCCATGGTATACGTGTTCTTTTTTTTGGTATACCCGGTATACCTCATTTCTGGACAATCCATTACATTCTGAACCATCTGCACTTCATGTCTTGGGCCCAAGATACAACACTCGGGGGCGGGCGATGGACTTGATACCTTGATAATTCTGGGATATGGCTACGTGTCAATGGTTTAAACATGTGTAAACCCAAGGGGAAACACATGCGATGGTCACTCTTGGGATTAATATGGATTAACCATCCAATCTTTATACCCAATGACTTGACCCATCCAAACGAAGTAGGCCAACAGGATCCAAGCGGCATGGCTACTGCACGCAGGCGCCTTTCCCACGAAGCCGATGATCAGAGGTGCGGTTTCCGCCCTCGACACTCTCCACGACTTTTCCAACCCTTCCATTGGCTGCCCAGTGATGGCATTTGACACAGGGCATGGCGCAAATGGAAGGGCAAAAAAATTTAAGGCCCGTCTTGGGGCTAAAAACGACTTCTCGAAAATCACGATGACTCATTGGAATCAATATATCGTCAAGACCTGGTTGTTTCGCTGAGCCAATGAGGCGGTGCTGTTTTGTCCAAGGGGATGTTTTAATTGTAACGGGAATAATACATGTTTAATCTATCAAAATGCGAGTTTAGAAATGTTTATTTTATTTTATGTCCCACCCAATGAAAATAGGAATACGATGCTGAGATAATCTTGAGATAATGGTGAGATAGTATTGCGATAGTGGGCGTTTTTTTGGCCTGGCTGGTCTGAAAAAGACAGACCTTCAACACATCAACCAGCAAACAAGAATCATGCCTGACGTTGTAAAATGGTTCCAACATGTTCCAAGCAAAAACAACTAAAGATCAAGCCATTAACCTACCCAACCAAGATATACCAGAACGGAAGGGACCTTGGGATATTGTCCTTAAAATCTACAAATTGAAACCTATTTGATCCCAAGGGTAAGGGGCATCAAGGACTCAACAGATTGGTTGGTCATCATCGAGTTGGGAGGACCTCCTTAGAACACTTTTTCGAAGGTCGAACACAATGTGGAGAAAGTTCATGTAAAGATATGTAAAGCATCTGGTGATGGCTTCTTCCTCATTTTGGGATCAGTTTGCTAAGGCGTGAGCCCTTCGGGTTTATCTCATTTACAAATGTGAAGTTGTAAGAATCCTGACTCCAACATCCTAAAACCACGTCCAGTCTTCCTGCAAGAGTGAGCCCCTAACAGTTGCACTCAATCCTATTCTACGATATCCTAATGCAGGGCTAAAATTACCAGCAACTACCATTTCAGTAGGCTGAAGTATGGTGATGCCGCGCTTGCAGCTGTTGAAACATCACACAGTTGATGTTACCCAACAGTTAATCTTACTGGTGCTAAACGTAGGGAATGGATGGGTTGCTGGGGGTTGCTGGGATGATTTCTAGATCGTCTTCCTTGGGAAACCATACTTGTTCCATATCTACCCTCTGGTTATGTCAAAATAACTATGGAAAATCACCATAGAAATAGTGAACTTTCCCATGAAAAAATGTTGTTTTTTTCCATGATGATGTTAGTTTACCAGGCCGGGTATGTTGAATTACCCGGCCTGGTCATGTGACAGTTTGCGAACTCGAAAGTCCCCATAGGATATTGACAGCTAGTCCTACAACTGGCTAACAAAATACTCGCAAAATCCCAACGAAAACGACGTGGTATTAGCAATCATACCCCCATGTTCAGTGGTTGAAGCCCTACATATATATATATATATATGTACACAATTATGTGTATATATCTGGGTAAACCAAATAATATTTCACTAACCTGAATTCTTGGGCCATAAAAGGGGATGATTCCCCCAAACCTATCCATGATTCCAGGGCTCGGGAGAACAGGGTTCGGTCGTTAAAATTTACTCATATATATGTAACATATCCATATATAACGTAATATATCCATATATATATATATGTAATATATACCCATAATGTATTTACCCATAAGATTTATCCATATATATGTAGTGTATATATATAAGAATAATCCAATCTTCATGAAACCAACCAGTACACCAATGTCCATTACACATTCGTCAATGAATCCCTTCCTCCGTACTATAAAAGAAAAAATCACCGCCTGAGAAAGCCTCAGAACATTCAACCATAACTGGTTGGTGGTTTTAACCATCTTGAAAAATATGAAAGTCAATGGGAAGGATTATCCCATATATTATGGAAAATAAAATTTTTGTTTGAAACCACCAACCAGAAAAGGTTAATTCAGTGTTGTGCATCAACTTTGCTATCGTACACGTTTTGGCCTCACCTAGCTAATCTCATTTTCCCATTTTGTCGCAACACCCCCAATAGATAAAAAAGTTGGAAACTTTAACATATCTAACACGTATATCCATATATAGGCCTCGGGTAATGAAACATGGCTGGCTGGGAAATATTCTCCAAATGGAGGTTTCTAGCTGGGAAAATCAACCGTAAATGGGGGACAATACCTAACTTTTGGAGCTTTAAATCAGGTTAAATCCCATAGTGCCCATGAAAATCACCATGTTGAAGCTTGATATTGATATCCCAATCCATAATGTCCTTTTGGTAAAAATAGAGGGGCCGGGAGCTGGTATACCATCATCATTTCCCTGTTGTTAAAGGGGTTTCTTCAAACCCCTCTATTACTCAACCAACCAATGGGAAAAGGACATCTAATGTCAACCCATTAATAAACCCATAGGCTATTTAATTGGGAAGGT